GGCTCTAGACCCTTCCAGAGCTGAGATATCGAAACTCAAAATTTCGACCCGAAAAAAAAACGACAGTGTTACCCCTTTCGTTTTTTTTCATTTTGGGCGAAAAATTAAGTTTCTCCAATCTTCTCAAAACTCTGGATTATGATAGAGGGCCGTGAGACTTTGACCTGAGTGCAAAAATGGAGGCTCTAGACCCTTCCAGAGCTGAGATATCGAAACTCAAAATTTCGACCCGAAAAAAAAACGACAGTGTTACCCCTTACGTTTTTTTTCATTTTCGGGCGAAAAATTAAGTTTCTCCAATCTTCTCAAAACTCTGGATTATGATAGAGGGCCGCGAGACTTTGACCTGAGTGCAAAAATGGAGGCTCTAGACCCTTCCAGAGCTGAGATATCGAAACTCAAAATTTCGACCCGAAAAAAAAACGACAGTGTTACCCCTTACGTTTTTTTCAGTTTTCGGGCGAAAAATTAAGTTTCTCCAATCTTCTCAAAACTCTGGATTATGATAGAGGGCCGCGAGACTTTGACCTGAGCGCAAAAATGGAGGCTCTAGACCCTTCCAGAGCTGAGATATCGAAACTCAAAATTTCGACCCGAAAAAAAAACGACAGTGTTACCCCTTACGTTTTTTTCAGTTTTCGGGCGAAAAATTAAGTTTCTCCAATCTTCTCAAAACTCTGGATTATGATAGAGGGCGCGAGACTTTGACCTGAGTGCAAAAATGGAGGCTCTAGACCCTTCCAGAGCTGAGATATCGAAACTCAAAATTTCGACCCGAAAAAAAAACGACAGTGTTACCCCTTACGTTTTTTTCAGTTTTCGGGCGAAAAATTAAGTTTCTCCAATCTTCTCAAAACTCTGGATTATGATAGAGGGCCGCGAGACTTTGACCTGAGTGCAAAAATGGAGGCTCTAGACCCTTCCAGAGCTGAGATATCGAAATTCAAAATTTCGACCCGAAAAAAAAACGACAGTGTTACCCCTTTCGTTTTTTTTCATTTTCGGGCGAAAAATTAAGTTTCTCCAATCTTCTCAAAACTCTGGATTATGATAGAGGGCTGTGAGACTTTGACCTGAGTGCAAAAATGGAGGCTCTAGACCCTTCCAGAGCTGAGATATCGAAATTCAAAATTTCGACCCGAAAAAAAAACGACAGTGTTACCCCTTTCGTTTTTTTTCATTTTCGGGCGAAAAATTAAGTTTCTCCAATCTTCTCAAAACTCTGGATTATGATAGAGGGCCGCGAGACTTTGACCTGAGTGCAAAAATGGAGGCTCTAGACCCTTCCAGAGCTGAGATATCGAAATTCAAAATTTCGACCCGAAAAAAAAACGACAGTGTTACCCCTTTCGTTTTTTTTCATTTTCGGGCGAAAAATAAGTTTCTCCAATCTTCTCAAAACTCTGGATTATGATAGAGGGCCGCGAGACTTTGACCTGAGTGCAAAAATGGAGGCTCTAGACCCTTCCAGAGCTGAGATATCGAAACTCAAAATTTCGACCCGAAAAAAAAACGACAGTGTTACCCCTTACGTTTTTTTTCAGTTTTCGGGCGAAAAATTAAGTTTCTCCAATCTTCTCAAAACTCTGGATTATGATAGAGGGCCGCGAGACTTTGACCTGAGTGCAAAAATGGAGGCTCTAGACCCTTCCAGAGCTGAGATATCGAAACTCAAAATTTCGACCCGAAAAAAAAAACGACAGTGTTACCCCTTACGTTTTTTTCAGTTTTCGGCGAAAAATTAAGTTTCTCCAATCTTCTCAAAACTCTGGATTATGATAGAGGGCCGTGAGACTTTGACCTGAGTGCAAAAATGGAGGCTCTAGACCCTTCCAGAGCTGAGATATCGAAACTCAAAATTTCGACCCGAAAAAAAACGACAGTGTTACCCCTTACGTTTTTTTTCAGTTTTCGGGCGAAAAATTAAGTTTCTCCAATCTTCTCAAAACTCTGGATTATGATAGAGGGCCGCGAGACTTTGACCTGAGTGCAAAAATGGAGGCTCTAGACCCTTCCAGAGCTGAGATATCGAAACTCAAAATTTCGACCCGAAAAAAAAACGACAGTGTTACCCCTTACGTTTTTTTCAGTTTTCGGCGAAAAAATCAAGTTTCTCCAATCTTCTCAAAACTCTGGATTATGATAGAGGGCGCGAGACTTTGACCTGAGTGCAAAAATGGAGGCTCTAGACCCTTCCAGAGCTGAGATATCGAAATTCAAAATTTCGACCCGAAAAAAAAACGACAGTGTTACCCCTTTCGTTTTTTTTCATTTTCGGGCGAAAAATAAGTTTCTCCAATCTTCTCAAAACTCTGGATTATGATAGAGGGCTGTGAGACTTTGACCTGAGTGCAAAAATGGAGGCTCTAGACCCTTCCAGAGCTGAGATATCGAAATTCAAAATTTCGACCCGAAAAAAAAACGACAGTGTTACCCCTTCGTTTTTTCAGTTTTCGGGCGAAAAATTAAGTTTCTCCAATCTTCTCAAAACTCTGGATTATGATAGAGGGCCGCGAGACTTTGACCTGAGTGCAAAAATGGAGGCTCTAGACCCTTCCAGAGCTGAGATATCGAAACTCAAAATTTCGACCCGAAAAAAAAAACGACAGTGTTACCCCTTACGTTTTTTTCAGTTTTCGGGCGAAAAATTAAGTTTCTCCAATCTTCTCAAAACTCTGGATTATGATAGAGGGCGTGAGACTTTGACCTGAGTGCAAAAATGGAGGCTCTAGACCTTCCCAGAGCTGAG